ACAAGGTAGAAAGAATGGTGTGAAGATATGATTGTTCCAATCAAATCTTCAAGTGGGAGATTGTTGAAAATTGGCACACCAAATTGCATCATTAGTCAACATTATGGGTGACAATTTGGTGGCATTAATGGGGCGGCAAAATTGGTTAAATTTGGCCACCAAATTGTTGAAAATTTTGGATGATAAAACTATGCAATTAGTCATTGTACTTTTAGGGTATTTACAAGATTGATCCTTAAGCTTCAACTATAAATACCCTAGCTCATTTAGTTTCAAAACCATCTGAAAACATTCTAGCTTTCTTCCAATACTAGAGAGAATTTAGAGAGTTTCTTGAGAGTTGTTTTCTCCTTTTTATCAAGAGAGAATATCATTGTTTTCTCCTTGGTCGATCGAGAGAAGTTGTAATTCCTATTTTCTCATAGTGAAATTCTTCTACCATTGCCCGTGGTTTTTACCCTATATTATTTAGGGGTTTTCCACGTAAATTTTGTGTCTCTTTTATATTCATTTTTATTTTCTCAAATTATCAGTTGCGATTTTGCTCTATCCGATAGTCGTCTTCCGCAACAGCTTCAAGATCTTTCAATTCTGTGACAGTTTTTCGAATGATGATTGCTGCTTATTTCAGGGATAATACAAACTGCCACTGAAAAGAGAAAGAAGCAATGTAGTCAGCCCATCAATGGATCTATTTTTTTTGAATTTTAGAATGTCCAGCTTTCAACTATATGTTTTAGCAGACAATGTTTTTGATTATCTGAGCATGCTTTATATATTTGCTTTCTTAGATGCATGCAAATCTGCTTGTTCATAACTTGTTTACCTCAGCTTCATTATTACTTTAATTAAACAACTTTTTTATATACAGTAAAAGAAATCAAATTCAATGATTTTAGGTTGCTTGTGTTTCTGGACTTTCTTATATTGAACGAATACAAGATTTTATGTTAAGGAGTACCAACTTAAGAAGTTATATCATAAATTTAAGGGTGTAAAATTATAAAATTTAATGGAATGCAAAATTAGATCATTGATAAAAAATATTTAAATTATATGAGAATTTGAAATTTCTAAAGGTGTTATGGTAGCTATCATCCCTCGGGCTCGGTTTATACCTACCTGATCATGTAAGGTTTCGTTAACCGATTGTCAGCCTGTTTTGCTAGAAAAGATGAATTGCGTTAGCTATGCAAGTTTGAAAGATGATAACGTAAGGGAAAGAGAGATAGAAGCTTGTGAACTTTCCATTGATTCAAGTACTAAATGCACAAAACATAGCTCCTACTCAAACTGGGTGGTACCATTACATTAAACCATAAGGTGTCAAGTCCCGGGTTTCAGCACTCTTTATTGATGACTACAGTGAAACCGGCGACCGCGAACACCATGGCCACTACTAACTCTCACCGGCGGGGGGTCATGGTGAAGGGTCAATGGCATTGCCATCAGCTTTGGTGATCTTATTAAGGGGTGCCCCATCTTTAGGTGTCCCAAGGAATGGGAACAGACCTCCGCAGCATCCTCCAAGTCCAAGCCATGGCTTAAGGAAGGGAAATGGCAAGCCGAACAAAGGAAGGCCCCAAGGACCAAGCAGACCTTGGGGGCTGTACACTTCGTCTTTCACTGGGGTATCCCTTGCTCCTTCACTCAGGGTAGTGACCATTAGAAACAACACAAGAAATGTTGTTGCCGTAGCCATTTTCTTCTTCATATTACCTCTTGTCTCATGGGAAATCTTCTTCCATTTCGACCCCGTTTTATAGTGAATTATGACGCTTTGGTTACTCTATTTGAGAGGTGTAATCACTGCATTATGCAATGGAAAGTTTGATTATTTTAGAAACCCTTTAATATTTTATGAGTATGAAATTGTTGTTAATTAACTAGTATCTATTTTGAATTTATTGAGTAGTTTCAACGATAAAAGAAAGTGTTTTTCTTTTTAAAAATCTTGAATTTGAATTATTGTGTGTATAAGATGTGTGTGCGCTATCGATAACTAAAAAAGATTCTAAACATGCATTAGGTTATAATTACTTTAGACTAATAAAAACCTTATTATCTATTTTCTTATAAAAAATTAAGGATTATAGATATTCATGTTTTTGTTGAGTACAAGTATACGATACTTAAAATATTAAATGTCTGGTCTTAGGTTGTTCTGACAATGGTAGATGAAAATTTTAAGCACCTTATTTATTGAATACTGATGAGTAGGGTGGATCACTGGATTGGTCCATTCCATACAAATATTAAATAGGAATATACTTTAGTATGAAGCATTTTCATTTCAGTTTCATTACCTCTGAAGCCTTCTGATGTCTAAAATTCGTATAATAATACTACTTGGGGTAATAAACAGAGCTGGTAGAGTGTCTGCCTCACTCACATCCCCCTCTGACTGTCACTACAACTTTCCATGTGTGGGGCTCCACTTTATTTTTCGTCAATTTCAAGGGTAACTATATCTACAAAACTCTAACTACCAATTGACTAAATTTATAATTTATTATCCTCGTATGATAAATAGATTTGATTCCTAGAAAAAGAGTATAAAAAAATATTCTGATACTGACGTCGAAATTGGATCAAAATTTAAGAATGTAAAGAAATATATAGTTATTACAAGAAAAAATGTATATTAAGGTTAATATAAACCAAAGATATGTTGATAATCGTAAAGGAATAGGATCATAAATTTAGAGCGATTGACGTAATAGACGATTACGACGATGACAAACTTTTAATTATTTTCTTAAAGACTTCATAATAATAAACGAGAAGTGAAGTCTTGACTCTAGTAGTAGTTCTATATGAATCTCAACTGAGATTTGTTTGTAACGTATACAATTATAACTATAAGTGGTATTTTTTTTTTGAAAAAAAAAATTATTTTGGTAAAATTGTAGATATTAATGCAATCAAGATTAAGGCATTCAATAATTATTTTAGAACATCTAATGATGTGAGACATATCATGAATTTAAGAAAATATATGATTTTATTAATTAGTCTAAAACAAAAAATGATTATAAATTTTTATGTTCTACAAGATCCAATAATTTAAGGTGATGTTTAGTGTCAAATATGAAATAACAACGTTGTTAGTAATAATATTCTAATTAAATCAAATAAAATAGGATTTTATATTGAACATTGGACATAACAATTCTAGAAAATAGAAAAGTAAACAAGACCAACTCTCCCGAATGGTTTAGTCTATATATGTTAATGAGGTGAAGTGTCGAAATAGGATTACTATGTTGTAGAAAACACATCAGTAAGTATACTACAGACAAAGACAAGTTACAAGACAAAATTTAAAGAGGAAGACGGGGGAGAGGGTTAAGAACAACTAACAAAACCCAACACCTCTCATTATGTTACATTAATACGGATATGGAGATAGATACGAGATGTAAAACAATAATTTTTAGAATTATTTGATACGGATACAACAAAAGTATAATAAAAATAAAGTAAATTTTAAAATTCATAATTACTACAAAATCACCTATTTATTTCAGATCTTTTTTTTGTACTATCTTTGCTAAAATAAATATATCTTGAGTTTCCAACGTTCATTGAAACGTGTCAAAATCTGTTAGAAATGTAATTTAAAGGCGGTTCATACAGTTAAACACATTTCAGCCCAGAAATGCCTGGATCCCATCCAAAGATTCATAATAAATCAACTAATATTACATACTTCAAAATCAACTTCAATTTCTTATTCAAAATCAGTTTTTATCATTTTAAAAATCAAATCTAAAAACTAACTCTCGATACATGCATAAAGATCAAACGTCATCTCGATACATCCCAAAATTCTCTCCAATATGCCTAATTAATTCTAATTGTACATCCTCAACATGGGACGCCCTCTATACTCCAAGAAAAGGAGTCTTTTCAAGCTGTTAAGTTTACATTTGTGGTAAAGAAATAGCAATGGAAAACAAACTCATATCAACGCAACCAAGAAGTCAAAGAAAAGCCATTCATACTTCAAGTAATCAATGTATTCTTTATTGATTTAACTTATAATAAACATAATTTTTTTATACAAAATATTTTCTTTAACAAAATGTACATCAAATAATCAATGTATTCTTTATTGATTTATTAATCTGCAACTACTATTAAATTGATTCTTAATAATTATATAGTTTTAAAATAAAATTATATTTATTCTAATATCAATTATAATTTTTTACGTCTAATTAATTAATTGTAAAGTCCTGTTTTCAATAATATTATTTGTAAAATCTTTAAATTTTTAAAAACTTTTATTTGAACTAATTTAATAAAGCCAAATGCTCTCCCCATCGCTGCCTACTCATTAAGTTATAGTTAATAACAGTAAGTCTTCAACTGAAAGCAAAATGCTGGTATGTAGCGTGTAGTGACTAGTGTCTTTCATTGTTTATTAGGATACAACGCCACCTTGTGTTGGGGGGTTAGTGATTAATGGAGTTAGTTGGTTAGATGAAATTTATATTCATGATATGGCTTTCCAAGATTGTATTCAACTACTTTCAACGCCCATACACATGCGCACTTTCTCAACTGCTTCATATAATCATCGACTGTAAAACGTATTTGTTTAGATTCTTTCTTCGCCTCTTACGACGCACATATATCATGTAGACGTAATTACTCTAACCCGAAAACTCTAGGAAGAACAACACTCCCATAACGCAATTTGTATGATATTAAAACCATTTACTGGTAAAACGTAACAAAACTTGATGTATCTGAATGGAAAGACGAAGCAGGAGCCAATGCTGTTAGCTTTCATTGTTAAACAAAAGCGGGCCAAATTGAATACTTCCTCTAACTAATCATTAATGTTGATACTTTCGGTGGAGCCCTTGCTTACACACAAAATGTTACTACATTTGTTTTTTGTTCATGCATGGCAGCTTAAGTTTTTTCTTTTGTTTGTTTCCGATTCCATTACATCCACCAGCGTCTGCTACTTCTGTGTTTTAAAAAAAATGTCTAAATTTTCAGCACTTTTGGTTTCGGATTTGATCCTCTTTTGTTCATCCATTTTCTCCCACCCTCTTTATTTCTCTTACTTCATCTTCTTCTCCCCTTACTTGTTCAAGATTTTCTCTTTTCTTTCGCCTCTCTTGGTCACCACTACCCTTTTCATTCTTTCGTTTTTCACCCTTTCTCACAGCTTTCTCGACAACCAAACAGCTGCCTCTGTTTGCCACCTCCAATTACCAGATTCCAAGATAATAGCTTCCCTACTAGCTACCTACTGGAAACTCGTCGAAACGGTAAGGTCCGAAGTCGACGACGAACCGAGTGACGGATTCGGATTCTCGGAATTGCTCGAAGCTTGTAAGATGGTGTTCGATAAGTCAACTTGTCATGAGGCCGATGAAGATCTATTTGCCGAGTGTTTAGATGAAAAATCGACACAAATTAAACGTCCAGAAACGAATCAGGTCAAGGCCGTCGTGAAGATCTTTGAAGATTTCTTGCAAGACAAGGAAGGGGTTGAAAATAATCCGTGGAAGAAGAGAGACAGACAAGTCAGGTCACCAATTGTAGAGTCCAATAAAGGTGAGGTACAAAAACAAGGATTCATAACAAGTGATCCTAAAGCTGTGATCAAACCAATGGTGAATTCCAATAGAATGACTGAAAATGGTGGGAATCATAATTACAATTCCAGTGGGAATTTGGGGTCCAGGAAAGAAAAGGAGTGGAAGAGGACATTGGCATGCAAGCTATTCGAGGAGAGATGCTCGGAAAATACCGACGGAGACGAAGCGATGGATTTGCTTTGGGAAACATACGAAACCGAGTCCAACAAGGCACAATTACTCAAAAGTAGGTCGAACAAAGTCATCGTCGACGATGACTACTATGGTATCGACGAGTACGAATACGAGGAAGAGTCGGTCGGTCAGTTATGCTGCTTACAGGCTCTGAAGTTTTCAGCTGGGAAGATGAATTTGGGAATGGGAAGGTCAAACATTGTTAAAATCTCAAAGGCCCTGAAAGGGTTTGGATGGTTGCACAATGTTAGCAACAGGCATGGCAAGAGAAGGTACCCACTGAATTAGATTTTTTTTTTCTTTCTTTGAATAATTTATGTTTTGATGAGAAAATTGAATTGGACATGTGTATCTGATGAAATGTGTTTCAATAAGTCATCAACCAAATTGTGGACCCTTTGGTTATATGAGGTCACATGAGTGATCGGAGAGGAAGAAAACTGGGTTACTAGGATTGGAAGAACATTAAATGCCGCCCAAAAGCAGCAGATGTTAAAGAAATGAAATCCATGGAATGCTCAAAGTACAGTTATGTATTTTCTTTTTCTTTCTTTTAATAGCTTCAAGTGCGAACAACAAGAGGAAGTGAATAGAATTGGGTTGTCTGAATCAAGATTTAGTTTTGATGGTAAAAAGAAGAGTGAGGAAGACAGGTGAGATTTGGGAAGTACGAACACCCTTGATATAAAAATAAGATAAGACGTTATCGGTTTTGTTATTATTTTTTTAATAAAACTGATAAAAAATTATATAAAACATTATTATTTTTACCTAAAACATTAATATTTTTAATAATTTCGGTAAAGTATTCAATAATAACAAAATTAATAAAAAAATAAAAAAAACTGATAGCATTTTACTAGATATATTAAAAAAACTAGTAAAACGCCTAAAAATAATAAAACTAATAAAAATAATAATATTTCTAATAATTTTTTACCGATTTTATTAAAAAATAATAATAAAATCAATAACGTCTTTCCTTAACTTAATAAATTATTAAGGGTGTCGCGTGAGACTTTCCACTAAGATTTTCATCCTGTTCGATCAAAGATTTGATTTCAGTTGTAACATAGGAGAGTACGCGGGTTTGAATTGTGTATTTTTATTTATTTATGCGTGGGAAGGTGTAGATAATGTAGTTAAAATATTTAGATTAGGGTAAACAACATAAATAATCACTGAAGTATAAGTAAGTTTCTTTTTTTCAATGCTAGAGTTTCAAAAGTAATAAAACGGTCAATAACATTATCCTTTTGTAACAAATTGATGATTTAATCGTATATATCCGTCGCTGCTGAAGGTACAAAAGTCTCATATGGCACGCTTGAACGCTGAATTGGCATCCTTGACCAGTCAATTTAATTCTTAAAAATATATAAATCCCCACTCCCAATCCTATTTCAATACAATTTCTTTCTCCTTTTTCTTTCCGCCCTTTCTCCTATAAATACCTATACCCATCTCTCCTCCATATCCCGTTCATCTCTGTTCCATAAACAACCATGTCTCTCCTCAAGAAGCCTCTCCATGTTTTGGTGATCCTTCAGTTCAAGGACATGGGTGATTTGAGAACTCCAATAACACTATCAGTTCGAATAAGGTAATTTCAAGAACCCCAAGACTTACACTATACTAAAAGATTTTACCTAAATCCCATGATTCTTGACCAAGTTTCCATCTTCTCCTGGCTGGAAAGGACCGTGTTCCATAAATGCACCAAAGCCAAGAGATGAACATCTAGGACCCCCAATAACATATTAAAGAAAAGATGGAGCGTCCATAAACTTATCAAGGGTGCAAATAATGTCTAAAACAGTGGTGATGATGAAACTTATCAAAGGACTTCAATTTATGCCTCCATTGAACCATAAACTTATGGGATGTAACAGCGGATCTGCAGCATCCACTTCCACAAAGTAGTAGAACAAAGCAAGAAATAACAGTGAAGATGGATATAATAAAGCGTTTATAATACTTAATTAAGCCTATAATAAAGCAATAACAAAATATACAAATGGTCCTCCGACCAGAGTAAGATTTATTTTGTTAAATTTCTTAACTATCGAAAATTATAAAATGGTTCTTTGACTATAAGGTGTTATTATGTTGGGTCTCTCTATTATTAAAAATTACATAACTATCATATGTTTCAAATTTATCATTTCATGTTAAAAAAAATGCAATTATCTGAATTGGACGTTAACATGCTCATTGAGATATGATAAAATTTAATCTCATAATTGTTTGAGCTATATTTTATGGAGCAAGTCTCTATTTACATTATGTCGTCGAACAAATTCTTGAAAGATTATGTCGGTCGATTGGTACTTAAAAACAATGACAATGTCATTATGCATTATTAAAATATGATTTTATCACATCTGAGTCAATAGATTAACGTCAAGCTCAGAATATCTTCAATTTTTTAAGGAAAAAATACGAGTTAATAACATATGAATAGTTATGTGACCATTTCATAACTTATAATAGTAGGGAGACTCCACAAAGTAACATCTTCCAATTAGGGGACCATGTAGAAACTTTCAATAATCAGAAGTTTCAATAAATAAATACTCTATAATTGGGGATCATCTGTGTACTTTACCCAAAAATCTAATTGATTTTTAATTATTTTAAAATAGCCTTTATAATACTTAAGCCTATAATAAAGCGTTGCCAAGTTAGTGCTCAACCCGCCTAATCGAGCATTTTAAATTGATAATAAATAAATAACAGTCTGTCTGTACCACAGAATTCCGCGTGGCAGCTATAGCCAAAGTTAACTAAACGAAATCACAGCCGTTGATCTCACAACATCCACAGTCCATGTAGTAATGAATCTCTCATGGCTGTCACTACCGAGTTAAAAAGAACGCAGCCCAATCCAAAAGCAAGCAAAGAGTGAGACTGAGAGTCAGTGACCATCAGTGAGTTCGTTGTTGTCTCAACTCTATTTATCTTAAGCACTATCATCCTTTTTTTTTTCCTTTTTAATGCGCCGGTGATGGCGAATCACCACCGTACGTCAAGAATCGGCGTTGGGGGCGAAGGAGGGACAGTGTTGGGAGGTTTTGGATGTACTTTTAGATTTTTAGCTTCAGCAATTACAGTTGCTATCTGTTTCTTCTTTGATCCTTCTTCTTCACTTCCCGCTCTCATTTTACTCATCTCCAGACCAACCTTGTAAGTAGTAACTAACTTTTCCCTCTTAATTAACTGAAAATTAGATTTTCTTTTATTGTTTTTTCTAAATAATCGATTCTGGGTATTCTCATTCTGTGCATTAAAAGGTTAATTAAGTGAAGAAAACAGATGAGAAATGAACATTTCCTTGGTTACTGGTTGAACAGCGTCGTTTTCTGTGTGGTTATAGTGTTTCTCCACTGGTTCCGACGGAATTGGATCCACAAGGAGGTCCGTTTTGGCACTCAAATCGGATCCGCTCAAACCCCGATTGTATCAGATCCAGAAACAAGCCAACGATCACCGCTCTCTTGCCCTCGCATACGCCTCTTACGCTTGAAAGCTAAAGCTCGAGAACTCGAAGCTCCTTAGGGTTTTTGCTGATTTATCTCGAAGCTACTCTGATCTCATCAACAAACCAGCGTATCGAGCTCTCTTCGAAGCTGATTCCCTCTCCATCGAGGAGCATGTGCTACAACAATTCGAGAAAGAAGTCAAAGAGCGAATCAAAACCACACGACAAATGATCTCGGAAGCCAAGGAATCTTTTGATAACCAACTGAAGATACAGAAACTGAAAGACGATCTTTTCTGTGAATGAGCAACTGATCAAAGCAAAAAAACAAGGCGCATTTTCCAGCCTTATCGCTGCAAAATCGATCCTTAAAAGCTTACATTGTTGTCAATGAGGTTGATGGAGGAACGAATCTCTCATCCAGACAAATATACAGATGAAGGGAAGCCAATTCCTCGCGAATTTGAGGATTCAAACCTTTATCATTACGCTATCTTTTCAGATAATGTGCTTGCTGCATCCGTGGTGGTGAATTCAGCCACAAAAAACGCAAAAGAACCATGGAAACACGTTTTCCATGTGGTAACAGATAAGATGAATCATGGGGCAATGCAGGTTATGTTCAAATTGAAAGATTATAATGGAGCTCATATTGAAGTTAAGGCAGTAGGAATCGGCGAACCTGCAAAAGTTTTACTTTGAGAACACACTTGAGAATGCCACAAAAGATACTACTAACATGAAGTTTAGGAACGCTAAGTATTTATCAATCTTGAATCGTTTGAGGTTTTATTTGCCAGAGATGTATCCAAAGTTGCATAGGATATTGTTTTTGGATGATGATATTGTGGTGCAGAAGGATTTGACTGGGTTGTGGAAAATTCATAAGGATGGGAAAGTGAATGGAGCAGTGGAGACTTGTTCCGGGTCTTTCCATAGGTATGCACAGTACATGAATTTCTCACATCCACTGATTAAGCAAAAGTTTAACCCCAAAGCCTGTGCTTGGGGATGAATTTCTTTGATTTGGATGCTTGGAGAAGGGAAAAGTGTACTGAGGAATATCATTACTGGCAGAATCTGGTGAGCTTTGATACCCAGTCTTATGTTCTTCGATTGGTTTACCTTGCAGCCTTATGCTACTTTTGGTTTGATTATGCTATTTACCTTTAGATGCTGCAATTTGTTCCATGGTCTAGCTTGTTTAAATTGTTACAGAACTTTAGTTAGTTAGATGAAATTGCTAGTGGGAAGCTAATAATACACTGAAATTTAAGGTGGAAATTATAGCAGCTTCTGGTTTTAATGTTTTGTTTTTCTCATCGTGGCTGCTACTATTGGGTCATAGCAGTTAGCGTTGATTTAACTGGTGGGGATTACCTTGGCTTTGCTTGCAGAATGAGAATAGGACCTTGTGGAAATTGGGAACGTTTCCCCCTGGTTTGATCACATTTTACTCCACAACAATGCCGCTAGACAAGCCATGGCATGTTCTTGGACTAGGCTATAATCCAAGCATTAGCATGTAGGAGATCCGCAATGCCGCGGTGGTACACTTCAATGGGAATATGAAATCATGGCTGGATATTGCCATGAATCAGTTCAAGCCCCTTTGGAGTAAGTATGTTGACTTCAATTTGGAGTTCATCCAGGCCTGCAATTTCGGTGTCTAAAGAAAAAGAAATATTTAATCTCACCTTAATCGACTATTGTTATTCTGCGTGGAAGGAAAGTAGAATTTACCCTACTCTAGCGTAGCATAGCATATTAATTTGTCCATACAAGTATCGCAATTAAAATCACTCAGCTGATGTTCAACTGTTATATTATTTTGTAATCATAATGTTCCTTTTAACTCTCTAATTAGCAACAAGGAGAGGCATTTAGAAAGCTATCAAATCTACTTAGTTATCAGGTGTGCAGATACATTGCAGCAGGAAGACGTGGAGTCAGGATAACTTCAAGTGGGTTTGCCTTAGGCATGGTGATGCCTAGCCCTTCACTCATATCCACTGGCCCCCCAAACGTTGTAGTTAACTCGAATCCCTGTAGCATGCAAGCAATAATCAAGCTTGTCATTTGCAATGCCAGTGTCATCCCCGGACAGATCGTTGACCTGACCCAAACGGGATCAGCTCAAAATGTTGGCCCACAACATCTACATCTTCATGCCTCG